TTTATAATTCATGTTTTCAAAAAAATATATTGATAGTTGAATTTTGTTGTCAACATTTACAATGTGTTGAAATATATATAAAGATACTAAAAAATCCGCACATAATAATTTGTTATATTGATGTAACCAACAGCCATCAAACACCACAATTATTTATTTATTTTTTGACAGATGACAAAATGCGAGTGATGTTGTTTGGCATGGTTCTGAAGACATGTTAATAACTAACCAGAGGTAACTTTTTTTTATTTGCTTTTATTTTATATAATGTATATTATTGAAATTTTGTTCCTTTTGTGTTAATGATTGAATCAATCACATGGGTGGTAGTCAATTTAAATGGCATTCATTTTTTTAAATGAAATGATATTATAAAATTTTTTTAAAAGATGTTTTTATAATAATAATAATGATTTTAATTTTAACACCATCTCCTTTGGACTACAAAAGGCAAGAATATCTTTATCATAATATTCGCCCATTTGTCAGAGATGAATTTAAAGATATTACTTGCCCAAGACCAATCTATACCAGCAATGAATAAAATATTTAGGGTAAAATTACCTCTAATGACTTCATCACTTGTTAATTTATCCCTCATTGTCATTAAATTTAATAAGTTTTAATCTTTTGACAAATATTACTAGCTTTTTCCACTTTTAAAATAGAAAAGTACTAAAATAATTAATATACTTAATATGCCCTCATAAAAAGGGTATAAGTATATTAAAAGAGCAAATAAATAAAAAAAAACATGGTAAACACAATAAATGAATTCCAAGAGAGAAATAAACAACTATTAGAAGAAAATGAAAATTTAAAAAAGCAATTAGCAGATAAAGAACAAGAATTTAAATTAAGAATTCATAACATAGTTGAAAATGTTAAAGAAAGTGAAAGACCAGAAATTGCTGGAACTTTAATGACCTTAGAACAACACTTTTTACCCAAAGATGAATTAACCCCTGAAAGCTTTGTTAAGGGTTGCACTGAATGAACATTACTTAATTGCAATAGTCTTAGTTATTTTTCTGAAAAAAATAAAAAACTTGAAGAAAAGGTTTCTGAATTAGAACCAAAGGTTGTAGAATTAGAAGCCGAGCAAAAAGAGTTAGAAGCAGAGGTAGAAGAGCTAGAAGAAAGAATAAGAATAGAACAGGAACAAGTTAAGGAAGTCATAGCAGTTGGTGAAAAATGAAGCAAAAATCAGGCAGAAGACATAAAAGA